AGCTCCTTTAAGGATAGTTGAATAAATAGGAAAAAACTTTTGTATATACAATATTGGCTACCCACTGACATTTAATGAATCACCCCTAACCTAACAGCTTTAAGTAACAATGAACTTCTAAAAAAATACTATAGATTCTGTAAGCCAGGAATTAGGATTTCCCCAACTGGTTGGTCCTGGCTCAGGGTCTTGTCTTAGTCTGTCACTGAGTTGCTCATGGAAATACCCAAAACTAGATTGATAAAGAAATGGAGTTTTGGGGCCAGCAGATGGTGTAGTGGTTAAGGCACTGGACTCCCACATGGTTGACCGCACTTGGAGTCCTAGACCCAGCTGCTTCAAACTGACACCAGGTGTCTGATGTGTGCGTGCCCGAGATCCTAGAGGAGAATGGAATTGCAGGGACTGCGGCATGGCCGTCCCCCTGGGGAGGTGATTTCTCACTTCCTGTCTCGCTGTCTCTCTCTGAGGAGCACATGTGCCCTATAGCAAAAAAAAAAAAATCTAAAAAAAAAAGAAAAAGAAAGAGAGTTTTATTTGCAAAACTCATGATTCTTGTGGCTGGGAAGCCCAAAGGCATCAGAAAATGGCAGGAGGTAGAACGAGAGGCAGCACAGTGTGATCTGTATCGGAGCTTTTCTCTCCTGGCCTGGGTCGGGTGGCCTCCGCCTGCCTCATTTCCCTCCTTACACGCATCCAAACCAGAACTCCATCGTGGGTCCCCTCTGCAACACACACAGAGACTCTGTCACATGCAAAGACCCCACCCTGAGATACCATGACGTTTTTGTTTAATACCTTTTCTATGGCAGGGACATCCAATCACTGTCCACTAAGGCCAAACTCCAAGATGAGAACTTTTTGGGGACAATCATTATCCAAACCAAAATGACCTCTCATGAGGCTGCAGCCAGGATGAGGGTAGGCAGCCATTTGGGGCCAGGAGGCAGAGCAACAATAGAGAAGGAGGTTGGGTCAGGGGCACCTTGGATCACACCAGCGCTGGACCGAGCACCCTCATATTCATTTATGTGAGAAAGAAATAAAACACATCCTGTTTAAGCCATTGTTATTTGGAGATTTGCCTGGAGTAGGGTTTGAAAAGGAGGAGGAGATGTTGTTAAGGAAAGGCCGAGTAGCAGGCCCCTACCTACCGCACAAGATCATGAAGGAGGGCAAGAAACTGCTGCCTGAGGGAGCCAAGCTTTCTGAGAGGTGCTGCGCTGCTAATACCGCCAGGACCAGATCTCACACTCCTTTCCAGTCTGGTGAGCAAGAGAGAGGTCCGTACCTTGGAGTGAGGACGTGACTTGTCTCAATCTCACTTCTCCCTTCGGGGATATTTACTTCCGCTGAAAATCCATTGTGGTGTCCTTGAGCCTTCTTCCCCATGAGAAAAATCACGGCCGTTCATTTGAAATCATGGGGTGAAAACAGGTTGGTCATTTTGGGGAGAAGCTGATCCCGCATGGGGCATCTGAAGTCACCCCAGGTGAGAGTCCACAGACAGGTGTGCCCTGGATGGGAGGCTCTGAGGCCTCAGGTCAGACCATTCCTGAACGTGGACTCACTTCCTTCAGGAGCTGCTGTGGGTGGCTGAGTGTGGGGGAGGCGAGCTGGGGGAGGCGAGCTGCAGGCGGCAGAGAAGATTCCAGTCCAGCTGCACTTGGACTGGCTGTGTGACCCGGCAGGTTTCTCTACCTCCCTGGGCCTGAGCTTCCTCTTCTGGGAGGCGAGTGCAAGTGCACCTACCCCAAGGCTGCCTGTGAGGACTAGGGGGAAATGGCTAACCTGTGTCACATAGTAGGTTCGTGGCCAATGCCAATTTTTCTTCATTCATTTCTTTATTTTTATTTTTTGTTTTCCTTTACTGAAGTTTTTGTTGTTTGTTTTGAGATTTTTGCTATGGGGGTGTACACTTACCAGAGAGACAGAAGGAAAGTGAGAACTCACCCCCCAAGGGGGGATGACCATGAGGCAATCCCTTCTCCTCCATTCTCCTCTTGTGATTTTGGGCACACACACACACACACACACACACACCTACCCCCAGCATGAGTTTCAAGCCACCAGGTCTGGGACTTGAACCACAGTTGGCCATGTAGGAATACAGCACCTTAACCCCAATGCCACCTGGTGGCCCCCCTTTACTGAGTTTTGTAAGAGCAGAACAGCGGTCCAGCTCTGAGGGGGAGGAGTTTCCAGGGAGCATATTCTCCCAGCCGTTAGTTCATGCTACCTTGGACAAGGTGAGGCTGAGGACAGAGAGGGAGCTGGGACGTCCCTGCCTCTTTCAGGACTTGTGGATAGATGCTGCCACCGTAGGGTGTGATCCTCCGGGCAACCTCCGTCTCAGGCAGGGCTGGTTACGTAATCTGTAGAGCTCAGCACAGAATAAAAAGCCTCAACCCCTTGCAGGAAAGCGCTGCAGGTTTCGAGAGTGACAGTTACAGGGATAAACTTTGGGCATTAAGCTAAATGTGGGGTTCCCCTAAGTGAGAGTTCTGTGCTGACTAGGTCACAGGTCCAAGCTGGCCCTGGCCTGGATGAGTGACCACCTTCATCTGCCCCAACCAAGGGGTTTCCTGGGGCAGGAGACGTTCAGTCTCACGTGTCCCAGCCACGGCTGCTCTGCACCAGCTTAGCCTCCAGTGCCTGCCTCTTCCGGGGCCTCCAAACCGCTCAGCCTCTGCCACGTCCAGGTCCCTGGTTCAGAGAGATCATCTGGGTCCTGCACATGAGGGCAGCCTCCCTGTGTGCCCGGCTGGGCTGCCTGCCCTTGGACTCTGCCAGCCAGCCACTGGCTCTGCCGACCAGGCCAAGCGCCTATTTCAGAGGGCTGAGGGGCACATGAGGACTCGATGCACTCCCAGCCTCTATCTCTGGCATGCTCTCCCTCCCAGGGCAGAAATCCTGGAGAGATTTTGCCCCACCTCTCTCTGTGTGCTGCCTTCCTTAAACCAGGGGTTGAGTGTCAAGAACAGGTGGCTCCCCCACTGGGGGAGATGTCCTCGTCCCCCAGGTTTGGGTTCTTTTATGCTTTTTTATAAGATTCCATCTTGATGGGCTGGTTCCATAACCTGGTGATTAACATAGGTGGATCCCACATGGCCGATTGCACAGTTCAAGTCCTGGACCTGGAAGTTTAAGAAATGCACCAGGTATATGTGCATGCATGCCCAAAACCTTGCAATGAGGGAGAGTGGAGAAGACTGGGGAGTGAGCATTCCCACAGAGACTGCTTTTGCCCTGTTCTCTCTCTGGCAAGGGCACACGCCCACTTGCAAAAAGGAAGAAGAATAGTGTCTTGCTATTTTGCAATTCTCCTGCTTTGGCCTCTAGGTTGCTGGGATTACATGTACATGCCACCAGGTCTTTACACTGGGCTGGAAATAAAATCCACCCACCCTGCTGTGTGGACCACCGTGTAGTACCAGCCTGTGAGTAGTGTCCCAGCAGTGGGCACCACCTGGGTGGGCTGGACCTTGGTTCTTGATGAACTAAGTAAGCCCAGAGAATCCATTCAACGTTCAACCCTCAAGTGGTCTAGACACGCCCTCCCTTGCCCCCAGGGGAGGAGTCTCCTGGAGGGAAGGAGGGGAGGAGCCAGAGTGGGCCTGTGGCTCGAGTGCTTCCTCTTCAGTGAGGGTGTCCTTTGCCTGCAAGCACAGCGGGCCAGGCGGGTGTTTGTCAAATCAGAGGGACGAGGCCAGGCAACAGGAATCCCTCATGTCCATAAAGGGTTCAGTCTCCCTGGGCGGGAGGTTTTCCGTCCTACCTCTATAGAGGAGAGGAGGGGCCCAGTCATTTAGCCAGAGTCCCACAGGCTCCTCAGGCCACCTGGTCCAAATTGACCTCATCTCCCACGTAGCCCTCTCCTCTCTGGACTCCCTGACTAGAGGCTGGGGCCTTCCTCTCCTCCCGCCGTGTTGATACTCAGTTCCCATGTCTGTGGACAACAGGAGTGGAGTCCCTCGGCCATGAGCGCCTGCCATCTGCCCATCTCTCCTTTCGAGGTAAACGTGCTCACTTCTTCCGAGCTTCGGACTCCTGGCTGCTTGCTCTCGTCCTGTCACCTGGCCATCCCCCTCACTGGAGGGACCTCCAGAAATGGAAGTCAGAAGCAGTGTCTGCCTTGGGAAGCAGCCTTCCGTGGTTCCCCACCTCCTGACTACCTTCCCCGGTTCCGGACTCGCCATCCCCTACATCTGCCTCTTCGGTTCTCCCCACATTCATTCTTGGGCCCTATCTTAGCCCCCAGAAGCAGATAAATGAGTAACCACCAATTTGGTGGCTTAAAACATCACAAATTCACTCTCTTCCACTTCAGGAGGTCAGAAGTCCAAAGCAGGTTCCACTGTACTAAAATCAAGGTGTCAGCAGGGCCTGTTCCTTTTGGAGACTTCTGGGAGAACCCACTTCCTGCCTCTTCCAGCTTCTGGGAGCTGCCCACATTCCTTGGTGGTGGCCCTGGATCATCCCACCCGCTCCTGACTCCCTTATTCCCCTCCTACAGGGACTCTGATTACACGGAGCCCACCCAGGTCATCCAGAATCATCTCGAGACCCTCCACTTTATCACATCTGCAAATCCCCCTGTGCCACATAAGACACCACACCCATGGGGTCCCAGGGTTAGGATGTGGACTCTCATCTGAAGCAGAACTATTCATTGAAAAATATTTTTTTAATTGTAGATTTTTTTAAAGGAGTTTTGCCATAGGACAAATGCATTCACCAGAGAAACACAGCGAGAGGAGAAGTGAGAAATCAACCCCCATGGGAGGTGGCCATGCCTTGTCCTCACAGGCAAGCACACATGCCTAGGTACAGGACTCCAACTGTGGAGTTGGCCATGTAGGATCCAGCACCCCCTGCTGGTCTGACATTTTTATAAAACAGGAATTACTAGAAAAATAAGGCTAAAAACCATGCAAATGACTCATCCAATTGCCATAAATGTTTATGATCTTCCCATTTCTATACCCGTCTCATTGCAGATTGATGATGAGCAGTTGTGACCCAGCACAGGTATCCAGATCTGACCTGGCATAGGACCGAGCGCCTCACTCTGCAAAGCTGCGTAGGCCTCATCTGGGAGCTGCGGGAAATGTGGCATCCTGGGTCCCACCCCATTCCTCCTAAACACGGGCCTGCCAAGATGCCCGAGTGATTCGTGTGCATGTCGAGGTTTGCGGCATCTGTGGCCCCCGGGACTCAGGAAAGTTTAGTAGAACCGAAGTACTAGCTAGAACTCTAGACCCCAGTCTCAATTTCCCGTAAGAGCTGATGATATAAACCTTATTCCTGATGAACAGAACAAACGACCTAATTTGGAGGGCTCAGTGTGAAGTGAAAACATGGGACCCCTTTACAAAAAGTTCTTAGAAAATCCAAGGTAGTGACAACCAACCTGGGGCCCTCTGGACTCACTCATGCTGGCCAAGAAAATGTATAATTCTGCTTTGTTAATTGCCAACCATTATTAATGAAAAGGCTCCAACCCCTCATCCTTTTTGAAGTTTATTTTTTTCTCAATATGCAAATAGAAATGGTTTCAAATGGCTGTTATTCCAGTGTCAATAATTCTTTTAAAAAATACAAATATGCATGTGTCTATTAAAATGTGAACGGAAGCTCTATATCGGGAAGGACAGTTTGTGCTCATGTTTTATTGACAGTGTACAGATTTTGATATATTGCATGACAATACTGACTGCTAGATTTCTTATCAAGAGTTAGTTTATATTTACTCTAGGTTTTTCTTCACAATAAAAATAAACTCATGCCAGTGTTTAGTAGCCAATGATATCAATTCATTCCAATTTAATGACAGTTTTATTAAACTAAGAATCTCATATCACAGAGCATTCACAGTGCAGGAGGTCACAGTTATTGAAAAAATAAATAGTGGGATAAATAGATTTATTATTTACAATTCTCCAACTCATTGCTCCTGTTTCCCTGTTAGAGAATGAACAAAGATGGTGGCGTTCAGCCCGGCATGCCAGAAATATCTTGAGGGGGACTCGAGTGATCAATGAACAATCCCAGAAGTTCTTGCTTTTGGTTGTTTTTTTGAAAAGTTCTTTCCAGACATGAGGCCTCTGACTGTATCTATCTGTTACTTGGGTAGGTCAGGATCGGGCTCGGGAGGACTCTGGTGCCCTATGGAAACCACGCCCAGCCTGCCTGCCAGGCCTCCTGGAAGCACCTGGCCACTCCTGGCTCAGGCTTTTCCCTGGCAGCTCCTGCATCTGCCGTTGGTCTGCCCCACCTGGCTGGCAGCCGCCTGGGCTCTCCAGGTAATCAAAGCTCTCTTTACGTTCAGACACCAGCAACTACTCCCGCTGGCAGCTGCTGGATGGGAGACGCAGGCAGGAGTGCCCCGCCAGAGGAGTGTGTGCTCTGTCTGCAGACCCAGCCCCACAGACTAGCAGTTCCCAGATCGGGACCTCCAAGAGGTGACCACCGTGCCTCAGCCACACCTCTATCTGCTGGGTCCCCAAATGCCCCTGGTCCAAGCCACATGGAGAAAATGGACAGTGTGGTCATGGGGCCTACAGCTCAGAGTGCAGGGATGAAGGTGAGGTTGGGAATGCCCAGTAGCTAGGGGGAAAAACCCACTAGAATGTTTTATTTGGAAAAACAGAGCAGCCTTGTTCACAGGCAAGTCATCTTCAGGAGGAGGAAAGGCCTCGCTCCTCGGTTGAAAGGGGACAGCGTGTCTGCCCACGAAGGACCTGGGAATCCTGAGTGGCAGTGAGGGGAGCTCTCCTCATCACGCACAAGGCTGATTACGACAAACCGGGCACCTTGAAAGTGCTGCACGTCCCCTCTCTTGAAGCTTCCCAGGTGTACTTTCCAGTGGCGGGTGCGGCAGGCACACCTCTCCGGGGTCAAGAGTGCTACTGGCCAGGTCTGTGGAAAAGTCCAGACCAACGAGGTGCATAAGAAGCTACTGCGTGGATTCCGGCAGCAGCGTGGGAAGGGGCGTGGTCTGTGCCGGCATCTGTCCCTGGCTTTTTACTGCAGAGCAGCTAGTCCCCGACCCACAATCTAACCTGTGAGAGGCCGCCCAGCCAAGGGCTCGATTTCCAGCAGGCACAGGGTGTGCTTCTAGCTCCCAGAGCCCCCTCCCATGGCCCTGGGAGGGAGCCAGTGTGGTCAGACATTTCCCCAGACTAGCAGATAGTCTCGGGAGAAGGAACACAACCTTGACAACTGGACACTGAGCCCCTTCGTCCCCCCAAAAGAGTGGATGAAGCGCCTTAGAAACACGCAGATAAAAGATGACACAATGTAAGGAAGGAGCCCCGGGCAGCGTGTGTTCAAGGACTCGGCAGAGAACAGAACCTGGGAGCCACTTATTTTGGGAAGTTAGAATTTTTTAAACCCCCATAAACCAACCAAAGCTGTAATGCCAGTCTGCGGGCTTCCGTGCTGGAAGAGACAGCGTGGTGGGAGGAGGAGGAAAGTCCCTCTCCCCTCATTCCGTGCAGGCCTCACTTCGAGTGGGGAGCACCATGACAGGCTGGAGTCTCCCATCAGCCACCAGGCCTGGAGGTCAACACAAAACTAGTGTCCTCATTCAGCTGCCTTTATTAACGAGCAAACACAGCCACCTACATCCCAATGCCTTTTTAAAAAGGATGCCCAGTGGAGTGTGTCCTTCGGGGAACAGTTCTCTGCAGCAAGGCAAAGGGACCCACCCAAGCCAGGTTGGCCAAAGACTGTGGACCACAGTAAGAACAGAACCCCATGTTCTTTGCCTCATGGGATGGGTCCATGGAAAGGACCTCTTCCTGACACAAGGGGACGGTGTACCCAAAGAACAGGTGTACCCAAAGAACAGGTGAGTGCCTTCTGCAGGCTTCGAGAAGACCCAGAGAGAGACGTCACCCTCGAGGGGGGCAGAGAGCAGAAAGTGCTCAACCTGGTGGGAGCACCAGACACTCTGTGGGTGGATTCTCAAAGAGAGGGAGGGGCCCGGGAGACAGTGCTTTGGGCCCAGGGTAGGTGGGGGTGGTGGCCTTCATGCTATCCAAGAGCTGCCCAGAGAGCATTTTCAGAAATTTCTAGAAGTGTCAATGGGCAGAGTGTGGTGACAAAGCTGCCAAAATGTGGCCCATCCAGGTGCCCTGGCTGCAGCTGCCACTGCCCCAGGGAGGATGATGCCCAAGAAATGAAGCTCGCAGGGTGTCAGGGCAGCCCACACATGTTTAGGGCAGAGGCATGTGGATTCCAGTCCTGATGTTCTCGACCCTCACAGGCAAGCGTTTGTTCATTCAGAGCACTGCTGAGGGCCTATCACACACTCACACACGTAGCACAGCCAACAAGGGCAGGGAAGGGGGGGAGTGGCCGGTCAGGGCCAGCACACACAGTCCCCTGAGGAACGCCAGCTTCCCGGGTTGGAAAGGTCTCAGCTCCTTTC